TGCATAAATCCAGAAAATGTGTTATTACAAGTGTATTATGTCAACCTATTCATTTTTTTAAATAAAATGCCACAAGGGAAAACCACAACAATCTTGGCGAAATCCAAACCCATGAACTCTTAAATAACTCTTAAAGAATGATTCTTTATAGATATCTGCAATTATAGTGCAATACAATACAAAGGCAGTTTTCTGTTTGCAGTCTTCCTATTCTGTTCATCTGAGAATTCCTATAATTCTCTTTCACTAAAGTTTCTTCTTCACATCTATATAAAAGAGAAAGTGAGAAGACAGGTGACAAATTATTTAAGTAACATGGAAAGAAATTGTAGGATCACTGGATGTTGATGACAAAGGATCATAATTAGTCTCACCAATGTACTCAGAATTCCAAATGAGAGTTTTGCAGCACCAGAGAGGAAGCTTTCAGCACCAATAGCCCCAGCATTTTTCAGTGCTAGGTTAAGGATTAAGATAAGGAAAAGGATAATGGTTAAGGGTTAGGATATCTTTTAAGGGTTAATGTATGGGTTGCTTTTCATGGTTGGGTTAGATTAAAGAGATTAAGTTGTAAGGGGGTTATTTTATGTGTAATGTTATTTTTAGGGCTCTGGTAAAGGGAGGGTAAAGTGTATTTAAACCCAAGAATGAAAATATAATATATGGCTGCTTACTATTCCTGAGATGTGGTAGCTGCATTAGTTTTTTTCTTTTTTTCCATTTTTCTTTTCTTTGCACCCAGAGATTTGGCCAGTGCCACATTACCTATTCTAGGATGACAGCACTCACTCGCTGCACTGTATCTATGGAAAAATCAGTGTTGTCAATTTAGGACAAGACTGTAGAACACCCCAGTTCTCTCCGGTCCACTGCAAACGCAAAAAATGCTGCTTGCTCTATTTTTTAAGTTTGCAGTGAAACTGAATGCAGGCAATGTTTTGTCACGCGTCCGATCGCACTGCGGGGGCGGGTGGGGGGCGTGGCTGCAGTGCCATTGACTTCAATGAACCACCACGTCCCCTCCTGCCCCAGAACACAGGGGGAAGTTTTGTGAGCGATTGCAGTGCGTTCGAGCAGCTAGCGCTCTGGAACGCACTGCAATTGGTTTGATCAAGCCCTCATGGATTCGTCAATTATGTCCCTCTGTTAAAAAGTCCCCAATAAACACACGGACTGTGCAACATGGATTTAAATGGCCACAGCAGCCCTTTATTAACCAAAACAACGCTTAACAGTTACCAAAAGTAATAATCAAAAATAACATACAAATAATTAATCTGAATGACTGTTGGATCTGCTCCCATGTTCCCAGCAACCAGCTAAAGGACAGTTACTGCTCCCAAGTTCCAAGGAGCCAGGCCCAACGGGGGGGGGGGGAGCACCATATCAGTTGATGCCCCCCCATTTTGTAACTGACTCACATTTTCAGGCCCCCAAAGACCACCTAACCTGCCCAGCTGCTGTGACATAAAAAGACATTTCAACAACCATCAACAGCAAAAAATTTGGGCGGGCGGCACAAATGCTTCATCCGTCGACTTTCCGGAAAGAACACCCAGCAGCCCTTGCTGTTCCAACCCATGTGGACCCTCCCCGACCCCAACCTCCAATCAGAAAAGATCAAATATTCCACACTTTAACCCCTTCTCCAAGGACTATTCCTCCCCCCCCAGTCATGCAGCCCCTCCACTCATTATCTCCGGTTCTGTCTATAGATCCACATCCAGATGGGTTTTGCAGATAAATGTAAAAAAAAATGGAAATAGTGGCACACTTTGCCTATAATCCAAACCAAACTAAGCACACAGCTAAGTTATCTTTCTCTTGTAATCAGTGTATTCCTCTCTCGTTCTCCTGTACATCCTGAAACTCCTGGCTCAATCCTCCCCACAACTATACTGCTTATTTGGTGTATTTATTTTTTATTTACAACAAACTCTGGTTAGTAAGTTTTCCTTGCATTCATTTAGCTGATGAAATATGTTATCTCAATGTCTTTTGAATGTCATTGTATAAACAGTAAAGCACACTATTTACTCTTCCTATATTACTAGTTGTGTAAATACTGATACATTTTGATGGTGTTATAATCCTTTTGTAAATTTGCATTTGCACGTGGCATATTATCAGATATATGTATCCACTGTGATTTGCTCAGTAAATGCTTATTTTCAATAGATAGTTTATTTTTTCTTTTTCTACAGAAAGTGTATGTATAATGCAACGTAAATATACAATAACACATATAACATCAGAACCTGTGTGGTTCAATTATTCTAGAACAGATTTAACAATCATGCTGTAACGTGTAAAAAGGACAAGAAAAGGGGGAAAAGTAGGTAGACAGTGGTGTAGCCAAGCGGATAGGTACAAGTACTGATAGTGCATACCAGTATTAGTGTACAGAATTATATTTATGTGACCAAATTTTCCAGTTGGACTCGAAATAGGCCAGTTTGCCTTCACGGATAACTAGCCTATCTAGCCTAGCTTCTGGGAAGCAACACTCCACTCCTCCTATTCTACAAAACAATGGTCCCAAGCCATAAACCACACTTACAAAGCCACCAAAAATCTGCGGATCTTTGGGAATTATCCCACAAGATCCCCCTGCACTGGTACTATACTCCTTGCCGCCTATCTTCCATCTTCCCCGCTAATTCTCCACTATGCTGGAGGAATTGCGGACAAATGGGAGATCTCTTCATTATACTTTGGTCATGCAAAAACATCAACAGCTTTCAGCGCAGAATTGTTCAACTTATTTCTGAAATATCAGAGATTCTTACTCCTGCTCTAGCCACACTCTCTTTAGGAAATGAGAAATTTCCTTTTCAAACCCGCACCGTTACATTACATAGACTCTTAGGAGCAAGATTAACAGTTATGCAACACTGGAGATCACTTGATTCCCTCAATGTCTCTGAAACAGTAAATGCTTCTAAAGTAAGTAATACTAATCATTTTGTTGTCTTTTAACTTCTAAACGCCGTTAGCCACCCAAAGATCAGTTTAGGGCTTTTAGAGTCTGTGAGTCCTCATCTTTATAAACCTAAGCTTTTATTTTTTTAATTTACTTCAAGCTATCTTTTGAATAAAGCCATTGTACACCATGATTCATAAAAATGGAAAGGCCCCCCACTGTGGGTATTCATTAGCCAGCGGAGCAGTGTTGCGGATTAATATGTTACACACTGTTGTATCGGTAAAAGACTCTCATTGACAGGATATACATACATAAATGCTTTCAACGCAGCCATCTTGCAAGGTCTCAAAGACAGATTTCTAGATATTGAAGAAACACAAGCTGTGGTTTTTTTTATTCCTTTTTTTATGTAGCAGAGATGTGTTATCGTTAGTCTGTAATGAAAAACTGTTGGAATCGTGCATGTCTGAAAAGAAGAGACATGGATGACTGGACTTCTGAGATGAGCGTATTGTACACATTGATTATGTGGCATTGTGCCTGAAGCATGCTACAATCAACCCAAAATAATGTAACAGTTGGTACCTAACTGTGTTTGAAGAATCTGTTGAGCCTAAAACATGTTGATACATTTATGACAAAGACACAGGCATACTGCTTATCTGGTGTGAGTTTCCTAAAGGGTTTTTTTTCACTTTCCTTATAAAAGTGCATGCCTATTTTAAATTGTGCAGTTTTCCAAGGCCATTTAGGCAGGCCTAATCTCGGTTTTATTTTAATGGTTTGGGTTTTTTAACCTAAGTTACAAACTGATGTGAGCTTACTGGCTACTAAGGCAACCTGATCTTATAGAGGTTGAGAGCTGGCAGCACTTGTCCAAAAAGTCAGGTGGGTAACCTAGGTTATCAAGGATTATTACATAAAGCGCATGTCCCAAATGTTTTATCCCTTTGAAATGATTTTCCCTTGAAAAATGCGCCCCTAACTTCCCGTTTGAGCTGACAACAAGGTACTTTTGCTGCACTAAAATCTGAACCAGCGTTGTCAGCCCTGCCTGCTGGGCTACAGAATTCCACCTATCCCTCTCTGTCATTTTTCACATACATACGCTGCTTTTTTTCTCAGCAAAACTATGCTGGTGACTTGACTACCAAGAGCCCACCCTTACACTGTGTGTAGGAAAAAGGCTCTTAGATGATACTGGTGCCTTGGCTCCCAATAGCCTGCCTTTACACTGTGTAGGGAGAGGACTGTTAGGTCTTAGGTTGTTCTTGGGGCTGTATTTATGTCAGTAGGAACTAAGCTTCTAATAGCTTTGCCCCTGCATACATTTTACAAGCCTGGCAATGATGTCACAGGAAGTAATAAAAGCAGCTTCTAACTACAGGAACAAGGAGAAAAAAACAATGCTGGGACATGCTTTAAAGCTGCATTTCTCGACCTTTTTACACTGGAGGAACCTTTTGAAATTAGTTTTTAAGTCTCAGAAGTCCCCTGCTAAAAATAATTATATTTATAGGTCACCATTGGTTTGATGAGTAAATTGTACACATATTAATAAACTAAATAACAAAGGACATGGTATATCTAAAATATTTGATACCCAAGTCAGATCATTTTTAGCCTCCATACATTGGTGATTGGTGGAAAAGTAGCTCTTTATATTGGTGATCAGTGGGAATAGAAAAGACGCATTACATTGGTGGTAAGTTGGAAGAATGCCCTTCCCTGATATTGGCCCTGCAACTGTGCAGGTACCACTAGGCGGAAGATCAGTCCTCTACTGCTCACTGTTCAAGGAACCCCTAGCACTTCTGGAGGAACACTAAACCCTATTTAAGAATGGCTGCTCTGGACATAATCTTTTAATAACATTAGCTAGCTAGTAAAGGGCATCACTTTATCCCCAAACTTTTTGCATTTAATAATGGCTGAGACTCAATGCAAGAGAGTTGCCCTTTATGTCTAACATAGTTCAATTGTCTGTTGCCAGTTAACCTTTCAGATTTAAAATAATATGGAACAAAATATTAGGTGTCAAATCTAATGCCTTTTCTTGTCTTCTGTTCACCAGGGTGAAACCAAAATTTTGAAGCTAAAAAATCTTCGGCCTCAGGATTATGCCAATTACACCTGTATCGCTTCTGTGCGAAACGTCTGCAACATTCCTGACAAGATGGTTTCCTTCAGGCTATCCAACAGAACAGGTAGAATATTGTAACTGGTTTAGTGTTTTGATATTTGTGATTGGCTAAACTTTTCTATTCTTTGCTTTTTAATTTTACATTTAGTTTATAAAATGTCCATTTCCCGTTGCTGAGAAGTAGATTGCCATTTTTTCATTTGTAGACCAAAACTTGCATAATTCTTTGCTTTGGCTTTTATTAAACCCAAGTTTGCACACACCAGACATGCCCTTTACAACACAATCAGTCCCCATTCAGTTAAAAGGATATTCAATTGAGTCGGAGACATTCTCAGCTGCTGTTTACCACCTGATCAATGTTTCCCATAAACACTAGATGAATCTTACCCGTTTATGGCCATTTTTTGGATGGTTTTGTAGGCATTCTAATGTTTGCAGGACGAGCTGAGGCTTACTGAGAGGAATAGAAATCCGATAGGTTACTAAGCCCAATTTCTACTGTTTTCTCCCCAATAAACCACCTCCAGAGCCAACTCCAGAGGTGTCTGCAATTTAAATAAAGAAAAAAAAATTGCGGAGAGCAAAAGTAAAAATGTTTTTTTGGGAGGAGACTTTGCTTCTCTTTCCTGTCAAAAAACCTCCTCTTTTTTTGCTTTTTTTTTGGACTTCAGTTCTGCTTTAGTGTATCTAATGACAAAATGATATTATATCTAAAGCCAAAACTTTTTTTTTTTTTGGTAGAAAAGGGGGTCATTTTTTTTTGCCATCTGCACCCCATTCACTTCCCTCTACTTGTTGTCCTCTGGACAGGGGGTTGTTCACACAGACTACGTTTAGATGTTGCCAAGTGCTGCTAAATGCCACATTTGAATGCAGCAGCATTTTGTGCTATGGCTGCTTACACACAGGGCAGCCATCAGAAATTTGGGGGCCCCTTACACGGCTTTAGGACGTGAAGTCACTTCCGTCCAGTCCGACATCAGAAGACAAGGGAGGTGATGGGGTCCCAGTCTGTCTAGAAGCTGCTGGATCGGCAATGCTGCGGCCCTGCCGGTGCTAGGGCCAGGCCTCCTCCGGCGCTGACTTTCACAGTCGGCCGATATTCATGTAAGGGTCCCGGACAGGCCCCCCAGGCTGCCCGGGCCCCTTACATGAGTATCGGCCGTACCCTCCTGATGGCGGCCCTGCTTACACAATGGAGGATTAGCTGGATACAAAGGGGTTGATTTACTAAAGGCAACTAGGCTGTTCTCATTGTAAGAGAATTTGTACTTTGCAGGGGAAGTTTCCTTTTAGCTTGGTAAATGTGGTGAAATTTCGCTTATCAAACAACACCCAATTGTGTGCAAGGAAAATAAAAAACTACAGGGGGGAATGTGTCAAAACTGGAGCAGACAAGATCTGGAGCAGTTGCCTAAGCCATCCAATCAGCTTCCCTCTTTGTTCAGTTAAGGTTTTAAAATGAAAGAGAGATGCTGATTGATTGCAATGCACAGCTGTTCCAGATTTTGTTTGCTCCAGTTTTGAAAAATGCCCCATTTTTTTTTCTTGCACATGATTGGTTAAAGAAAGTCAGCAGAACATCCCCTCATTCACTAAACAAAGCTGAAATTTTGCAAGCAAAGTGCAGCCTATTTGTCTTAAGTAAAATCAACCTCACAATGTCTGTCACCAGTATGGCTCCAAATATGAGAATTCCTTATAATGTATATGTAGCCAGAAAACTTTATTTTTTTTAGATTAGGGAGGGATTACAGCCCCTGTCATAATCTCATGGCTGTCTGTGTTCCCCCTCTATATTTGGCCTGGTGACTATTCAGAAAGTGTTAGGAAATCTAAAAGGTTAGTTGTCACCAAAACAATTGAGGGTAAATCTTTAAATCTTTCCATGGGTGCACCTGTTTAAGAAACCACTTACTTTGTAGAAATTTCCTCTTAATTTCTGTTGCATCTTTGGGGCAGGAAATGAAGGAAAATCTCTCCAACAGGATACCGACAGCAAAAAGTAATCTGGCTGGTTTTAAGACTTTCCTACTGTATCCAATATTTAAAAAAAAATGCTGTATATGCATTTTTGATCATCTTTTGAGTATATAAATGCTTTTACATTCCTGCCAAAATATATAAAGTGAGATCCTGCACTTAGAACTTTACCCAAAACACTACAAGTGAGGATCCAAAACATGAAAGCAGAGCAGGAAACATATACCACCGTTCTATCAAGCTGTGAATATATTTTGTGGCTGTCATGTGTTAAATGTAAGAAAAACTAGATGTGTTTTTAGGGTAGGATATATTTAGCCATATCCAGCTGGATTTATTGGATTTTGTTTAATTTACTCTGACACAATCTTGAAAACTATGCGTAATTAGTGTTTAGATGTATAATTAATATTTAGATATAAACTGTGTGTGGCGCACCTGTAACTATTAGCTTAGTATGTGGGTACAGCTGCTACCTGAGTCTGGGCACACCTTCAAAATCCAGTGACAGTATTAAGCAGTTGTAAACAATGGGTAGTCTTATACATTGGTTGCTGTACGGTGAAAATAAGAGAAAAGGCAAACAGAGAAACAAGTGCAATAATTATAAGTAGAATCACAGTATTGGCATTCGAACAATAACACATATAATATAACGCTCCAAAGCAGTCCACTGCTCCAAATCTCAGGCCACCTCACATTATATTCATTTCCCAGGTGCAGGCAAATAGGTGCGTCCTCACCTCCAACAGGTACATCCCAAAGCAACCGCACTCCAGCGGTCTTGGTAAATGAACAAAACTTTATTGTGAACACATATACAGGGTGAATCACTCCCCCACATGAACAAAACCTCTTATGTGTTTCACCAACATGATTAAGATGAATTGGTGAAACACGTGAAAGGGTTTTGTTTGTGTTGGGGAGTGATTCACCCTGTATATGTATTCACAATAAAGTTTTGTTCATTTAGCAAGACTGCTTTGGAGATGTACAAGTATTATATAATGGTTTACTTTCCCTTATCTAGCTATGCTAACTGTAATGTAAGTCCCAAACTTGTCTGGTGACAAGCTCACAAGTCTGCGTTGAAGTCCTGGAACACAGCACAGAGACATTGAAGGGAATTTATCAAAATCTGGAGCAGCTGTGCATGGCAACCAATGAGCTTCTCCTTAATTTTCAAATCTTAACTGACCCAACCGAAGAGAGTAGCTGATTGGTTGCCATGCACAGCTGCTAAAGATTTTGTCTGCTCCAGTTTTGATAAATTCCCCCGGTGTGTTTTCCAAATTAGCAAAGAGGGATCTGGTGTACTGTCTCATTAAGATATTAAAAAGATGATAAGTGGGTTATCCCTTTAAGCCGGTTTGCCTTGAAGAAGGACATTAAGTCAATCAGTTAACTTATCCAACACACACTGCTGTATAGCATGTTTCTATCTTTATCCTCTGTATGTAGCTGATGGTCTCTACTTAACTATGCACTACAGTCTCCCTCTACAGATCCCAAGGGCATAAACAGATAGTTGAACATATGGTAGTATTGTGTTGCACAAAGTAATAGAAAGTCTAGAAATCTGATGACAGTCACTGTAGCACAAGGAACGTGATTGTGGGTACCATATGGCACTTACAATCCATTAGCTAGCTCTCCTCAGTCCTCATTGACTGACAGAAAAACAGGCAGGATCTGCTCCAGCTTCTCTGCGCTATCCTCTAGGCACTGAACAACAGGAATTAGACCAGAAGGACTCGGCCAGATATCTCTCTGAAGACTCTTTTAACTGTCTTCTTCCAAATGTCCCCTCATTAATCTTTCTTCCCAGACTGATTTGGAGAACATTCATCTCTCTCATGTTGCACACTCTACAGGATGGCACGTTTTCCCCTTTGGAGTAGCAATCCTATAGAGGTAAATTGCGGTGGAAATTTTTTGGGATAGTCTTAAAATTACATAGTTACATAGTTACATAGTATTTGAGGTTGAATAAAGACATTAGTCCATCAAGTCCAACCTATTAGGATCTCATTCTAGGAGTACCTGTACCCCTGTATATTACGGTCCCTTAAGAAATCGTCCAAAAGTTTCTTGAACAATTCCACATTCTTTGCTGAAATCACTGTCTGTGGCAGTGAGTTCCAGACCCTAACTGATCTTACTGTGAAGAACCCCCTTCGCCCCTTGTGCTGGAATTTTTTTTCCACCAATTTTAGGTGGTGGCCTCTAGTTTTTGTAATGGAGTTAATTTTAAACAGTTTATCGCTAATGTTGCTACCACCATTGAACATTTTGTACATGGAGATCCTATTCCCCCTTAATCTCCTCACCTCCAATGTGAACATGTTTAAATTTAGTAGCCTTGTCTCGTAGCTCTGGTCCTCCATACCCCTAATTAGTTTGGTTGCCCTCCGCTGGACTTTTTCCAACTCAAGGACATCTTTTCTTAGTACTGGTGACCAGAACTGGACCGCGTACTCCAGATGAGGTCGAACCAATGATCTATAAAGTGGCAAAATTATAGACTTGTCCCTGCAATACATCCCCTTTTTAATACAGGACAAGACCCTGCTAGCTTTGTTTACAGCAGCCTGGCACTGCAAACTACCTTTCAGTTTGTGGTCTACAATGACCCCCAAATCCTTCTCCATTTCTGACTTCCCTAGCGGCATACCCATAATTGTATAACCCATTTGTTTATTTTTTATTCCAAAGTGCATTACTTTGCATTTATCGACATTAAACCTCATCTGCCACATTAATGCCCACTCCCCTATTTTATCCAGGTCCTCCTGTAATGTTATAATGTCTAAGTCCGTGTCTATTACCCTCCCAATTTTGGTGTCATCCGCAAACACTGAAATATCGCTGTTAACACCCTCCCCGAGGGTGCTGGCAAGTTGTTAGGAGCAGAATGTCCTACAGTGACAGAAAACAGTCTGTATAGAATTATAAACAATTCTGCCACTTAACCACCAGGGATGAGCTCAGGTTCATTTGAGTCCAATCCCATAAGGAACTTGTCAGTGTCAGCCCAACCAGTGGCATCCCACAAACTCAAGTTTGGACTAAACACAG